TGTTCACACGCCGCAGTACCTCTGAGCTCCACCAGGTGGCGATATCACCTACACCCAGACAGGAAGTCTCTATGATAAATGAACAGGAACGGATGTCACCTATAAACAGGAAGTTCTGGCTGTGAGGTGATTTGGGAGGAAGTAGAGAGGAGACATTGCTGGAACTGGCAGCAGAGGAGGTAAGAAGATATTATGTTATATTTACAAGTCCCCCCCCCCACTATATCGGCTTTGGCCCCCCCCATAGTCACTGTGACCTCTTTTATCTATATATAGGGCTGGAATAGTATATTAACCCCTTCAGGGTCACAACATCTTCCAATTCATGAACATTTTGGAGTTGTGTTGCTTTTCCACCCAATCACCTTTTACAAAATTATTAAAACCATTAAAACCGCCGACGTTGATCCGGAAACGCGATGATTGAGGTCTCCCGAGTACAAGGACATCACGTAGATATGGATTTTAGAGTCACGGTGTAGGAGAGGTGGGATGCCCCGGGGAAGAATGATTCCCGGGGCTCTTATGGCTCCCCCTCTCAATTAGGACAGGGCGGGGCTGAGGGCCAATACTAATTGGATGAGTTGGGTTGGCGGCCCCCGAGTGGAGATGCTCCAACGTTCAGACCCATACCAGAGCAGGACCCGCCGTCGCTGACACATGGCGGACATCGTAGAGCTATCTGATCCACCTTCAGATCTGGCGACGGGAAGTCTTCCAGAACCCGCCTCCGTTGGGGGCTCTAAGAAGTCATGTGATCAAATGCCGACCAAGGCAAAGGGTTTTCCTGTAAGAGGTGAAGGTGTCTCGCAATAGACCATGTCCATGAGGGACGTCCACAATGACCACCAATCACTGCACCTCCATGGCCCACAGAGATCTACCATGAAGAAGATCCCAGTCCTTCCCTGGTCCAGATCCCCTTCCATCGGGAGTCCGCCCATCTTATGACATCACACCGAGAGCAGCGATCTCTCTATAGCGGTCTTACGCCCCCCTCCCCCCGAATTATTGTATGACCAATTCAATCCGGATAATTATCATTTATCGGTCTCCATGGAAATCGATACAGATCACATGACTGCACCAAAGAGGATGGAGGAGGACCGGAGTCGCATGACCGAGAGGATACTAAACCTCACCCTGGAGATCATCTACCTGCTGACAGGAGAGGTGAGGAGGATTCTGGGAGGTCACATGACCTGACCGGAGGGGTGAGGAGGATTCTGGGAGGTCACATGACCTGACCGGAGGGGTGAGGAGGATTCTGGGAGGTTCAATGACCTGACCGGAGAGGTGAGAAGGATTCTGGGACTCTAACATGATGTTCCTATTGGTTTCTCCATCCAGAGTTTTCCTCTTCTGAAGTCTGGTGATCATGTGACCATCACAGTGCCCCCATGTGACTCCCTAAAACCCGAGAGACCCAACATGGAGAAGGTTCTAGAAGTCACCAAGAAGATGATGGAGCTGCTGACGGGAGAGGTGAGCGGTGCCGGGGATTCTGGGACATGATCCAGGAACAGACAAGGGGTGTGTCTGGGTGGTGACGGGAGAGGTGA